ATTTATATTCTGATCACAAAGTCACTAGTTACATGGATATGAAATAAATGAAATACACCAATAGGAGACATATTGTCCTCTTTAATGTGGTGGAGTGTAAGAAGGCTATAAATGAGTAAAGTACAAGTACATCCAAATTGAGTACAAAACTGTACTACTGCTACTTTCCACCACCTCATTTATACTATTCCAGTGTTTCTGTATTCCCTGTTTTCATTGTGTTACGGGTGTTTGACAGTAGGTCAAGGAAGTTTTTCATTAGAATGTAAAATATTATTATCTGTTTTGTTTATAATATGGATAACTGTTCAACTGTTCAAACCGATCAATAATGTTACGTCTCCTGTGTATTTTACACCAGTATATATAGTTCATATATTATTCAACTTCACAACCGCACAGTTCAAAGCCCTCTGAGGGTTCTTTCTCTTTTTCCTTCCTTCTTTCTTTCTCGGACGAGTCTTTTCTTGAATGTGCAGTTTTTTCTATGAAGCAAAAACCAACAACAGAAACTATGTAGCTCTGTGCTGTAAGATGAGCGCTCTCTCAGTATACTGATGCAGAACTGAACTCTCCTACATGTTCCTGGTGAGTGACCTGTCACAGCCTGAGTCAGGAGGAACTCAATGAACAGACTGTTCAGAGCTGCTCACTGTTTATTGACTTTAACCTTCCAATCAAACAATCACTGGAGACTTTTTCTTTTTTAAAACTTGTATTTTATTGTGTTTCACTGAAGCTGACGGGGGCCTCCACTGTTCAGCGTGCGTAAACAACAGCAGGTAATAGACCTTTCCATCCTGTGTTGATGTGAGGTTTATTTTAGTCTGGAGGTGGCTGAAGGAAAGTCATAGTGTGAGTGCACCACCGTGGCTGGAACCTGTACCTCAGCTATGCAGTCGTATCCATTCAATGCCTGTTGTTCATTCTCAAAATGTACGTCACCTCCACAGCAGATTATTGACATAAAGCTGATGGACAGAGAACTACTGCGGCCGGCAGCCTCTTGCAGTTTTTACTGTTACACAGAGTGGAGACTAAACAGACTTTCAAAAGCAGAAAGCACAAGCCTGTAGGTCCCAGACCCAGAAAGTGATTTTATTGAAGCTTGTTAAACAAAAACACTGAATGAAGAGAGAAGAGTCTGTTTGCGACTTCATCTTTGTTACAAGAAGGTCAGATCTTTGCCTGCGGAGCCATTTTCAGTCATTAGGATACAATTTTTATAAAATTGGGTCCAGACATGGAGTTTGTCTTTCACATATGAAGAACGCAGCAGGAGACTCTCCAGGTTGAGTGTGTTCAGAACAACAGGAACATTTGTAGAACATCCAGGAGAGGGTAGAACAAGCTGGAGGCAGGATGCGTGCACATGTTTTTGTTTACAGCTCATTGAAACCAGCGTTGGCTCTTATCATCGAAAGCTATTGAATCAATAATTGACGCTTTCTTCAAAGTCTTCCACGTGTATGGTTTCTTCTTCATCCTTAAATATTTGTATTCTTCCAGTTTCATGTCCATCCTGTGTTAGAAACGTCAACACGTCCACTCGCTTGCTGTGAATTTTACTAAAATGTTCCTGCTGTATTCTCTTGGGGCATTTTTCAAACATTTTACTTGTTCTGGAAAATGTCTGCAGCTACTTTGTATTCTTAGATACAGCCCTTCTGAAAATCTTCAGGAAAATCTCAGAGAAATATAACTTTTTTTTTAAACTGTTGTGAAAGTAGTTTTTTACCTGACACAGACTTTTGTTCCATTCCCCAGAGACACCAGTGTTGGAGCTCTGCTGACGGCAACCAATCAATCACTGTCGTCTTCTACACATACAGTACATGTTTAGGTATTCAAGGCGACGCTGCTGCTCAGTCCCTTCACTTTGCTCACATTTTTCATGTGGGCTGCCGTGTAATTTTACCTGTTTCCACCACAAAGCTGTTGAGACCGAGGGTGTTTGCTTTTACTGCGAAAACATAATTAAAGGTTGTGAAAGACAACCGAAGCAAATTTCACTTAGGAAACATTAAAGGTTGTGCAAAGTCAACGATGTCTCTGCATGCGTGTTTGTGTCTGTGCACCACAGTGGGTATTTACATACATGGAGCCTCAGCCCTGCAGGAATATAAAGACTGCTTGTGTCTGGGAGTTAGGCCACTGGGTGACCTTTGCATTCCCTTCCCAGCAGAGCCATCCTGTAGCAGAGGTGCGAATATAGCACCTGGATGTTTTGTTGGAGACAGGGGCTCTCATGCCCTGATGGTCAACCTGTAAACCAGCCTCAAACTTGGCAGGAAGCCCCTTCATGTACCTTGTCTCTGGCCCATGACGTGTTTTTTTTTTACAAAAGAGCCTTTTCACTACATCCAGGAAGAAACGTCTGTCGGCAACATCCTCACATTTATCAACCTGATTTCACTGACATACATATCTGTGCCCTGCTTCCTCTGCAGCCGTGATGCAAGGAAATTGACATCAACCTTTTGCTGATGTAAGGGGACTTCATGACAAATTACACTGATGATCTGTGACACATGAGCTGCAGGTAAATTCATGCAAAAACCCAGGTGGTACACCAGTATACATGAGCTCTGAGAGTCCAGGTTCTTTTATCTGATGATTCCATTTAAGATAAAGTCTGTGTTCGAGATAAAATCATGTTTTGGTGGTTGTGGAGGAACAGTGGCTTGTCCACTTACAAGAAGATCGACGATCCGATTCCAGTCTCCACCAGTCCACGTGCCAATGTGTCCTTGGGCAAGATACTGAACCCCAAATTACACATGGTTGTAGACTCAGTACTCAGATCAACAGTAGTAAAAACTACTACATTTGAAAGGGGCGTCCAAGAAACGCTCACCTTTTGCTTCATGTAACTTCATCCAGCACGGTACACACGCACTCCTAATGATGACTTTATAATTTCAATGCTGCAATTCAACCATTTAGTTTATGATCACCATGATGAAATACATATTAAATCCAGTCCGTGAGTTTTTGCATTCTAGAAGCTTTAAAATTCACAGTTACTGTGACTCAAAATGAAACAACACACCTCCACAGTTACAACCATCGCATTGTTTTGACTCTGGGATGTTCTGGGTCTGAAAGCTCCAACAGTCTTGTTCACCTTGACAGTGCAACTTTAGATTCAGTTCTCTTGCATAAACTAAGCCTCTGTCTTTACTGTACATTACTCAGCAGACCCAGTGACCCAGTGCACATGTTGTTGTCTTAATTCCAGTTGATTAGCAGCGAGGGTTATTGGCCGTCTGACCGTGCCTCTGCATGGGGCTGATCTTTATGACGGAGGCTGTACTGGGAACAAATGAGCTATGAAGCAGCACCAGGAGACTCAGGGCTGCAGCTGTACGTTTAATTAAATCAGACAGTTTAGTCCCTTTGATTAATGATTGTGGTTATTGTGTGTTTTCACTGCAAAGAACAGCCGTTATTATCCTCCGCAACTCTCAGGTTTTTAAGGTCTGTCTTAAAACAACAGTGACCATACATTTCAACAGCCGTACTGCCTGAGAGGAGATATCTCACTAATAAAATAAAGGAGGGGAACAAAACCCATGGACCTCTTTTAATGCAAAAAATTCAGCAGGAAGTAAAGCATCTGAAAAAAAGTGATGCACAAATTCAACAGTGACGTTTTGATTTGCTTAGCTGTGGATGAACATGAGTGGAGGTTTGCATGAAACTGTGCCTCTCTTGCATCGGAGAGAGGGAATCACGACAGTCTGTAAGAACAAGGGGAAAGATTGAGCAACTCTTAACTTTCAATATTTGGACATCTGAGTTAATTGACCTCTTTAGCCCGAGACACATAAACAGTATCGGACTATTTCCAAAATAGACATAAAATCATCGTCTCAAACCTTTAATTGTAGTTTGTGGAGCTCACCTCATCATTAACATGGGTTGTTATTTGTAATGTTAACAGGTGTAGTGTGTGATGTAGCTCAGTTCTGAATTTGTGGTGTAAAACTAAACTGATCTGATTGTGACAGAAACATCTGTAAAATCAATTGTTTATGCAAATAGAATTAGTGAACTTATGAACATGAGCAATATAAACACTAATGAAAAAGGTCTGAATCAAAACCTGAGAAGAGTTTGATTGATACAAATAAACAACACATCTTTCCTTTTGTTCAGTCACGGCCAAAGAGCTGAAGCATGGACATTGAAGAAGCAGTGATGGGCACCAGCCCTGACAGTCCTCTGAGCCCGAGGCACCAGACCGGACTGGGTATGAACTGTCTTCTCAGCCCAAAGTTCAGACACTCTGGACCGGGTCTCACCAGCCCTCAGGAGTACAACCAGTGGCTTCCTTACCGCCATGATGCCAGTTTGCTGCCCATGAAAGAAGACCTGGCCTTCTGGCTCAACACCATGATGAGTGAGTCCGTTTATCACGTTTCTACAAAAAAGAATGATGTTTCGGATTTGTGCAGCTACATTACAAGGGAGAATGTTGATTTTAAACTTTGACATCTTTGATATCAATAATGTCACTTGTGACATTCACCCATAGATACATTGCATGACGTAGTGAGTTCAGACCTGGGTTTTTTATTTTGAAGCTACTGGTGAAAACGCTGCGTGCACATTACACACAGAGACACTTTAACTGACCTATTAACCCAGATCCTTGAAGCACCTCTCCATTAGAGAAACATGACTGGGAGTCCAGGGAAAGGGATGTTTCCCCCCACTCTACTGCATTGTGAGGGGAAACATAAAAGGAGTGCACATGCCACAACCTGTCGGTGGGTGTCTGGAAAGTGACTCAGACACCACCAGTTTCTGAATGATGCAAACAAAAACTACATTTAGTGTGGATTGTTTGGAAGCAGAACAACTTTTGGTTCCAGTTTGTGTTGGGAGTTAAAACCTCATTATCTGGATCTATAAATAAAAAAAGGTTTCAGGTGAACAGTGTGCCGCCTTCCTCATAATAATATGGTTTTCTGTGCAACAGAATAATATTGTTTTAAATTAGATTCATAAGCAGGAATTATATTACATATATTATACTAATTTCATATTACAGGGTTTCAGCAGGGTCAATAATGTCTAAAGTTCAGTAATCAGAATTTTAGGCCATAAAAAGTCTTAAATCTGCTCAAATATTATTATTAGATTTAATTTATTATGGTTTAAAAAAAAACTCTTGTTGAAACCTGCAGAAAACTGGTAGGTAATTCTAATTCAACTTTTTGATGTTCATATTAATGTTACTGCGAAGTACTTGGTATGTCTTGAGAAACAGAGTCTGTGTACACTCAGAGTGCGTGTGTGTCCTCAGGTGTGGAGCTCGCAGCAGACAGTCTGATGGAGAGCTTAGATAACGGTGTTCTCCTCTGTCAGATGGCACAGCTGCTCCAGGAGAAGATGATCCACGGCAACAATGGCAAGGTGCTGCAACAACACAAAAATCATGCACGCAATCACACACACAAACCTGAGACGAGAACAAAAAAAACAAAACACACTTTGCTGATGAAGATGCTGATTTAGTAGATTAATACATTTTTAAAAGGTCCTGATCCGGCCCAGTTTTCAAGAATAAGTAAACTGCAGGGTTGGTGCTTGATAGAAACTTTGCCTGCAAATCCCATAAAACCTGCTGAGACTGTAAAACCAGGTCAGGTCTGAGGTTGGCAGTGACAAAATCTCCTGTGGTGTTTTCAGTAGCTGTCTGTACCTGCAGGTCTTGTTTTGACAAGATCCCACTTAAGATGGAGAAAGACGTCTCCATAACTGTATTTGTTATTGAAACACTCCTGTAATAACCAACATTAATCCATTAATGTGTGGTGAAAACTGTTACAGCCCTTTGTTAGGAGAGTGATCAACTGGCGAGCTGATGCAACCTCAGGATCATTTTTCGCCCGGGACAACACAGCCAACTTCCTTTACTGGTGTCGAAAGATTGGCGTTGATGAGGCTTACCTGTTTGAGTCAGAGGATTTGGGTGAGTTCAGGTGGGAGGTGGCTCTGATCATTATAGACTTAAGGAGCAATGACCTCTTTCTCCCCTTTTTGCCAGTGAAAGGCCTGAAAGTGAACCAGGTTATGCAACACTTATGTTATTCATTAAAATAAAAGCTTTGGATTTAAAGGCAGGAACACACTGAGGTTAAAATTCAAGGAGCTATTTAGTCCTTATTAAATAATTGTATTGTTTTTTTTCCAGCTCTCATCCTCTGATTTTGTCAACAAGTAATGGATGTGTCTCATTTTGGAAGATAATACATTATACGTCGTTTGTAAATAAGTAAATGAATAACACATACATTTTATTTGCTGGGAGCAAAGGTTACTTTTGAGTTATATTATTTCTGTACATTTGTTTTACTTCCTTGGTATTATTTTAATTTACTTTAGTCATAAAACTCAAATAACTCACTGCATTCAAATTAAATAAGAAACCTGAATTTTACTTCAATCTAAGATTTAAAAGTGTTTATAAAGTAGAACAAATATATTTAATGAACTCAAAACACTGCTCTGAAACTAATTAAAATAGAGTAATCAACTCTTGAATTATGGGGATCACACTAAATGTGAATATTTCTGTGCTTTAAGTCTCCTCAAACCGCGTTTCACCTTTTGTATGTGTGACGCTCTTTGTCCCTGAGGAGAAAACTTGCAGTCAACATGCTAACAACATGGTTCTGTGTCATTAAGCAGACTCGTCTATGCTCCTCTTACCTGGGCATGTCTATGCATGGCTGCAGATGCGTGAGAATGATAATGTGCAGGTTAATCCCCAGCAACAATGAGTCCAGCCTGCAGGCACACTAACCTACCTTACCAGACTAATTGAATAACAGGCAGAGTAAACTTTGACAGACGTCAGTCTACTGACGCACTGATGCAAATGCACAGTTTTTTTCTCTTCTCTTGTCACGGTAATAAAAATACCATTGTCAGTTCTGTCAGAAATATTTTTTTATTTAGATTGTGCACTACATAATGTAGTCGTACATCATTTTATTAATATTTTTCCTTGGCCAAAATAGAATTATAAAAAGTGAGCACTATTTGAAAATGTGTAAATTCTGGACTGGAGACTTTTTCCTGTCCTCATGCCCTCAGCTGCAGAACCAGGGCTCACAGGAATTCCTCTTCAGCTTCAAAGATACAGATGCACAATAGAAACCTCCTGAAATGTGCTTCCAGTTCAGACTGCCGAGGTTTATCTCTGGAAACATCTATCCGTTCAGACGAGTAAACTCTTATTTCTGCCCCTCCACCCTCTTTGCACTTCCTGCATGTGCTGTGTGAAGTCCTCCACAAGCAGCCTCGGGAGGTGTGTCTGTGCCTGATGGAGCTGGGACGGATCGCAGCCAGGTAAGTGAAAAAAAAGAACCCAGAGTGCCCCATCTATGGTGCAGCTCCTCAACAGTAACAATGGAAAACTGCTGCATTTTTTTGCTGACACAACAACCATGTAGCAAAAAACATGCTCAAAAGTTCTAAGAATGATGACTACAGAAGTATAAGCTGGGATTCAAGTTCCTTTGGAAGGAAATCACTGCTCTTTGATTTATCTGTGATTTATCCTCACGATGGCTGTAATTCTGTAAAACCTCTCAGGTACGGAGTGGAGCCTCCGGGTCTGGTGAAGTTGGAGAGGGAGATAGAGAGGGAGGAGAGGGGCTGCTTATCTCCCTCATCCCCTCTGCCCCTCTCCTTTTTTCCTTCTACATTATTGTATTCACCATCACAGTCATCCCTGCCCCCGGCCCCCTCTCCTCCTCCTCCTCCTCCTCCTCCACCTCCACCTGCGCCCATCACTCCAACCACGGCCTGTCTGTCTGAACCGCTCGCTTCTGATCTTCCATCAACAAACCCAGGGCCTACGTGTTCATCCCCGCCTCCGTCCTGCACCTCAGCCTCTAACCCTTGCACAACCACAGCCTCAACACAAACTCCTTTGTTCTCTTCATCCCGCTCCACTAACGCACCTGCTTCCACGCCGCTGTCAGCGCCCTCGCCAGGACAGACCCTGGTATCCACAGCCAAAGCTACAGTAAACAACCACACTCCAACAGCGACGCCCCCCATCAGTTCCCCACCTGCAGCCCAGACTCCTCGATCCTCTGGCAAATCCACGTGCAGGAGGAGTGCAGGCACCAACAACATATTGGATGATATTGTGTGTATTTTACTATTTGAGGTCACATATGTTAAAGGTGCTTTCTCTATGTTTACTTGATTTTCTCTCTGGATTATGTTCCAGGTGAGGAACATTATTGAGAATCCACCCTGCAGCTGTCCGACCAGGTTCCTGGTGGAGAAGCAACCTAAAGGCTGCTACCGCATTGGAGATAAAATTCTGTATATACGCGTAAGTATGATCAAACAAATCACGTTTATATCAGAACCACTCTTTTATCCTAGTTTCCTTAAAATTAGACACGTGGTGTTATTGCTTAAAATCAAAACTTGTACCCTCCACCAATTGTTACCAAAACCTTCAGGAACCACACGTGAATGTGAACCATAGGTCACCCACCATTCACAATGACGTGTGTAGTTCTAACTTTTCCCACATCAAAACAAGCAGTTGTATAAATGTCATTTCTAGGAGACAAGGTTGGTTCACGTCCACCTAGAAGAGAGGAGAATAGAAAAGATAGATACAAATATATATATTCAAATTAACATTAATATAACATTTCATAGTGTGGAATTGTTACTTCATACCTTGATGTTTTTTGTAAACCACATCAAAATTGAAAATCTAATGAAGACGAATCGTTAACTCTCCAACACATAATAAGATGTGAGGTGCTCAGGTGATTCATTATCAGTTGAGTCAGCAGCAAGTGCTTTGTGTCAGAGCGACTGATCTGAGATCATTTAGGGTGGAGGTGCCTTTCAGCTTCAGCGAGTCGTGCTCCACCTGTATGCGTCTGTACAAAGGCTCGAGGAATGGCCTTCTGGGAGGCTGGGTTGCTTGGCAACCAATGGTCAGGATAAGACCGGGCTGACAATAACGCTCAGCACACGAACCTTCAGCAAAGAGTTCAAACCTGAAGGAAATACAAACACGTCTCTTTCAGGAGGATTTGCGGAGATATGGTTGCAGTGTGCAGTTCAAATGGCAGCCCACTCGGGAGTTCAAGTCCGTCTGTGTGAGGGGGGTTTGAAATATAAGAAGGTTTTACTTTACTGTCGGAAACAACTATAAAATAATAACAGCTTCAGTGGGTGGTATATTTAAGCAATGTAGTAAATCCATCATTTGCTCTAAATTAAAAATGCAAATATTGGGTAAAGCACATTAATTCAAGCTAAAATCTGATTTCACACTGTATATGTACATTAAACACTCAGAGATTTGTCACAGCGTTGGCGACTAACTGGTCCCTACTTGAAACCCATTGAATGCTTTGTTAATCCCATTGACTCAACGCTCTGATGATGATGGTGATCAATGCTGTCGGTGTTGGTTTGCAGCAGCAGAGTTACACCTGTGTTTCCACTTGCTGACGGACAAACAGAACATCGAGAACATCTGTTTTTCTGCAGCACACGTGTCAATAACACGTGTTCGAGCACCACATGAAAGAAAAGCGAGGCAATAAAGACGCCATAGCCGAGGCGTGTTATTAGTTTGTGGTGAAGTCAGCAGAATGCATTTACGTTAAGAAAATTAAACAAAGAGGAAAGAGAAGAATGTCATCTTTATGTTTCTCCAGAGGACCTTTTGTTCCCTGCAGAGCCTTACAAATACATCATTTCAACAAAACTCTCTCTGTCAGTTTTCTGGCATCATTACCAGTTTACTCTCTACTTGCATCGCTCGCTTTCCTTCCTCAGCACACCTCAGCTGTGTGAATGTAGCACCGCAGCCCATCAACCCGACTCCATCCATTACCTTGAAGCACACAGCTGCCTATGTGTGTGTGCAGGGAAACACGCCATGAACTTCAATTACCATATACCACGATAACCCCGGTGCCGCTCCTGGGAGAGTGAGCTATTCAATGTGTACAGACCTTTTTAAAGAGCAGATACTATTGATTACTGAGACAAAGTCATTAGCGAGGGGTTTAATCAGACAGCTTGTTAATGAGCGGCTGAGCATGACCGCCCCCTCCTCACATGTAAACTTTCTCCCCCACCTCTCTATTCCCTATGGAGACTATTCAATCATGCCAGCCCCGGAGTGCTCCGCCATTCTTTGGTGTTAAAATAGAGGAAGGCTCTTTCTTTCTTCTCTGCACCCAATTAGGCTCTCCTTCAGCTTTGTAGCAGGGACACTGTCTGACTGTGTCTGTGAAAGGAAAGAGACATGCAAACACTTCGCAATATCATGCATCATATCTTTGTTCAGTATGCCATCTACCTACAAACTTAAAATACTAAATTGAAAAAATGATTTCAAGAGATATAATTGAGCAAAAATCTGCGAAACGTGGACGAGCTCATTGTTTTTTTCTCACCTTCATTCTGCACTTTTGGTATAAAACCTCTTCCCCATCTTTCCTTCTCAAGTGTCCTTGAGCGCTGACTCCATACAAGCTGAAGGAGGAAGTGAAAAAAATTATGATATTAGCAAAGTAAAAATCATTGTTGCAAAATGTGAATCATTAATAATATCATTTATCGCAGAAAACAAGTGAAGTCTTCTGTGAGATAATTGTGAATAAACTAAGATGCTACATGTACATTAGCAACTTGGTACTTAGGTACGGCAGTTACTTCATTGCTAACATCAGCATGCTAGGACAATACTGAAATAGAGCTGTGTGGCAGATATGCTAAACAGCAGGTATTTAGTCTAAACATAAAATGTTCACTTCATTTGGTCGTGGAACCGTTGATATTTGTACAAAATTCATGGAAACCTTTAGAGCAGTTTTTATTTTTTTCGCCCAAAACCAAAAATGTAAACCTCATGGTGGCACCAGAGGAAATGGCAGGGCATCATAAAAATCACCACAACTGTTTTGAGAGACAACCATGAAAAACTGGGCCCGGCCATTTTCCGGAGTTTGCCTTTCACATGTTAGGAAGGAAGCAGGAGATTGTCCGGGTCAGAAAATGTCCGTAACATTCAGGCGAGGGGGGGGTGTCTGGGTTAGAGCAAGATGCAGGACATGACTGATCATTTCTTGGCATTGGTCTTTTTCACCAAAAGCTCTCAAATCTCGTGGTCTTTCCAAGTTGACATCTTCATCGGAGTCTTCTATGTGTATGGCTCCTGATATTTGTATAATTATTTTTCTCTTTATTTTTGATTTCGGCATCTGTTGCGTGTTCTGGCTACCATGAGTGTATACACAAAATGTTACGTCTGCCAGTCACTGTGCTTTGAAATTGACCAAAATGAAGAAAATGTCTCAATGGGATTTAACATCTGGAGGACGAGGAAAAGAAATAGAAAAGTAGCTGAACATCCGGAGACTGCAGGTTTGTCCAGTTTGATCAATGTGATGTCTCAGGGGCACTAAAACAATCATTGCCTCCACACACAGTAAAAGCTTCTCAGTTTGTCTCTTTACTGTATATTCACAAAGGACCGACTGTGCTCGAAACATCAGAAGAAGCGTATGTGGCTAAAGCCTGCCTCCTACTGGCAGGCATCTAAACAACTCCTCCTCCCTGAGTACGCTCATGCATCTTTCAACAGGAAAGGAGAGAAGGAATCAATGGAGCTGCCATTGAGGACACAGGGGAATCCAGACGGGGGTTTATGGGCCGCAGACGTAGCACACTTTGTAGGGAGTGTACAACGGGGGGAGGGGGCAGGTTGTAGAGACATAAATGAAGGAGTCTGTCTGACGAAGAGGGCGAGCATCGACCAGGTTACAACAAATGAGACGTGTAAAGCAAAATGACCAACAAGTGATGCAAAACAAAGTTACACCAACAATAAAAAAACCAGAAGACAGAAAGAATAAAGCTTCACATCTGATCGTAACTGATCGATGATTTCTGGTTAGCTTCTTATTTCTAAACGTTTCTAAGGTGACGACTGACGTTTGCAGTCAGAGGGACGTTCCCTCCATGTGTGACAGCAGAGTGGTTTATTCAGGGTGTCAGACTTGACCCGTCAACCTCAACATTTTAATCTGCAGGACGACAGCTGAGACGCAGCACGTCTGGAGTTCCCTCCAAAGGTGCCTGTGCTCACAATGATTTTTTTTAAGCATCCCCTCACAAGAAGGGCAGATCTACTTGTATTATCACATCCTTAATGGCTCTGTAATGAAGGGTTTATTGGTGATAAGGCAAGAGGGGGGTGGGCCGCTGCTGACAGGACAATGGATGGCTTTGAGAGACCTCCTGGGAATGTTAATGTCCACTGGGAGTTGAGGGGTCTGCGCTGAACTCATCTCAATTTCTCCTTTTCTCTCCAGGCTTGATATTGTGGCAGCGGTTGCCATGGCAGCAGTTGGTTTTCTGCTGTAAGGACGTCTGTCTGAGGAGGATGTGTTGATTCAGATAAAACTGACGTCTCCGAGGCTACTATTAAAAGACAGTCGTTCTGTGCAGTAGTCCTTTTTCATTTGAAATAGTGATTATTGTGCGGTTTGTGTTGCAGATCTATGTGGGCGTGTGCCGTTGTGCGTCACTGCGTGTGATGTGTGCGTGTTTACGTGTTCATATGTGGATTAATCCTGTGTGTGTGCTCAGCTGGTGCCATGAGGTGTTGTTTCATTTGGTTTAATGAGATTTTGACAAAGCAATCTGAGAGATCACCTCATAGCCACCGGATGCAGGAGAAGCCTGTAAATAGCACACTAATGTGTGTGTGTGTGTGTGTGTGTGTGTGTGTGTGTGTGTGTGTGTGTGTGAGATCACTCCATTCCCATGTAATTCAGAATTCATAAACATCTTGGCAATAACCCAGCCAGAAAATGTATGCATACTTCATTACCCAGCAATCCCTGTCTCACTGTAGGCTCTTGTGTCACCCTTACAGATGCTGAATGAGCGTCATGTGATGGTGCGTGTAGGAGGCGGCTGGGAGACCTTTATAAGTTACCTGCAGAAACACGACCCCTGCAGAGGAGGACTGGCCGGCAGGTCCGAGGTCAGGGTCTGTCGGTACAAAGCCAAGTCGCCCAGTTTGAACATCTCACCCGACAGCTACATGGTGGTTGGCGCCCATTACCGCAGCAAGAAGTAGACTGTGAACATGTGGTGAAAACTGGATCAGGCCAAACTGTGCAAGGTCGATTATTATAATATAAAGATCAGATCTGACTGATTATTTGTAGGAATTATCCATTTACTCAAACTCATAACAATTTTACAATGGATCTACAATTAGTCAATTAGTAGAAAATCACTAATCAATGAATTATCTCTCTCTCAGCTTTCTAAATATCTGGTTCCAGTTTCTTCACTGTGAACAATCGCTGCTTTTCTTTCACATGTATGATCACAAACCTAAAATCTTCGGGTTTTGGAATAAGTAATAAAACAATTTGAACACATTAGTGAGACATTTTCCCTATTTTTTTTTTTGACATTTTACAGAAAGAAAACGAATTACTCTAACGAGGAAATAATCATCAATATAATCAATAACAAAAATAATCATTACCTGCAGCAAGTAATGTGTATCATCACTTAAAAATCATTGTCAAAGGTTTTTTGCAGTACCCTCATTTTGCATTTTGTACAGTGACTTGTGTTTTGTAGAGAAGAAAGTAATTTTACAGCTATTTGTCTGTGTATCATTGTAGTTTTAATCTGAGCAGTTTGAGTAGTAGTCTGAAAAAAAAGATGCATGGTGGCTTTTCATGTATGGACACACACACACACACACACACACACAGCCCCTGTGGAGCAGTGAGTTCACCTCAGCCTGAAAAAGACAAAAGCACAAAACATCACGTCCTCCCTCTAGATGGCACCATGTCCTCAGTGACAGAGAGCCAGGCCTCGTCTCCAGTGCTGTTGAGATCACGTCTCACCTCTGGAGGACGTCCAGCTCTCGAATGKACTGAATCTTCTTTCTCAGTTTGAACTCTTCAAACTCGAACGTTCCCACAGACACAACAACATAAAACAGTGGCAGAAAGATGCTGCTGCCCCTAAAAAGATGATTTGCATGCAAAACACTGAAAGTCACAACACATTAGTAATTACATATTTTATTTCAGTAAAATAAATTAATTAAAAATGGACACAAGTTTTAAATATATTGAAAGAAACTAGCTGTAATGAGATCATGCAAGACTGTAATGTCTTTTTAGTCCCCACGTAACATCTGCAGTGGATTGAACCAGTATAAATGACTTGTAGAAAATAATAGCTGTGCTACTGAAACAAAGTACCACTCTAAACGGTGGCGTTTTCACAGGGCATCTCTCTTCGCACACAGAAACCTCCTAAAGTCCTCAGGAAACACAGAAGTTGCAACTTGAGAGGGATTTTACAACAATTTCCGATATGTCGTCACACTGCGCCGACCTCATTCATTCTTTAGAGTACATTGTTTTGTGTGCTGCTGTTGAAGCTGAATCCAATCCATGACAAAATCTTACATTTTTTAAATACAGACCTTTTTATGTGCTTGAAATTTTACAATTTGAGATACGGGGGGTGTAAATATGTGCTTTGTTTTTTTTTTTTTTGCTCTGAACAGTTTTTGAGAAATTCCTGCACATGTGCATATTAATACTGGAAAAGTCCGATTTACACTCTCACCCACACACTCTTACACACTCACACACACAAACACAAAGAAAACTTGTAAGATTTGTGTGCAGTTGTGCTTCAGTCCTAACGACACATTATACTTGCACCATATACTTATACATTACAATTTACTGCTCACAGTAACGTAACTGTGAATCAGTTCGTGAACTCAAACTTTATAAAAACAAAACACCAAACAGCGTTGCATTCTGTGAGTCGCTGGATGTCAGAAAATACACCGACTCCGTTTGTCAGTGTAGTAACCATAGATATAAATATCCTTTATATTTATGGCATGTCCTCATTTCTGGCATAAATATTTTCACAATAAGAGCCTGAAATATGTTCACAATAAGAGCCTGCACCCACTGACCCTAAACACACAACATGGTTTGAACCCAAACACTTGGTAAAAGACACAACAGGGTGCTTACTACATGCTCCGATCATCTTTTGCTCCCATGTGTGGCCTCGGAAACAAACTGGATAATACTGAACTCCACCTGCTCAGACGTCAGGTTCATGGACGTTTGTGAGACCCAGCAAAGTGCAAAGATTCAACAAGACACTGGAGATACAGTTTTCAATCATGCCTCAGTTAATGCTCTTGACTTCAGGACAGTGGTGGCCTCACGAGGAGGTTCATGGTGACGGTGAGAGGACTGAACATCACACAGTGTCGTCAATACACATTATAACACATTATTTTTTCTAAAAATGTTGATTAACGGAGCTGATAGAACATCACTCGTCTCCACTAAGTGATAAATGGGGAAATAATCAGATTCGCATCCTGAAACGTCACCAGGACAAATTGTTTTTCCATTTCCATCAATTACACTCTGTTTATCAGACACTGGTCCATCTCATACTTCATACTATGATGAAGACACTTTTGCAAGTTCAGTGCACAAAACTGATGATGATTATAAGATGTGTAACAGTCCATCTGTTCATAAGAAATTTCATTTAGTTTCAAATCAAAACATTATTTTTTTCCAACAAATGACTTTTGACTTTGTTGTTTTTGAAAATGCAGCGGACGTCTACACTAAACATGTATCTGATTTTGGACAATAATGCCAATTAACAACACTCACATTTGACCATGGACACCTCTGATTTTTATTTCTTTTTGTCATTTTCCTCATGTGAACGCGTCACAACTAAAAACACAAAATGAGTATGTGGTGTGTATTTGGATTACATGTCTCTGCAGTCAAGAGCCTTTCTAAATCACTATTTGTGCTTTTTTTTTCCAACAGCAGATTTGGATGCGTTGTCAACCCAACAATTTAATTCCAAAAGTTATAGAAAAATGGAATAACCTCATGTTCCTATCACATACTACATAATATACTGTGTATTCTACCACTTTGCAAGTTAGAACACAATCAATATGTATTTTACTGATCAAGAGACACAAGATGTTTCCACAGATCAATCAAACTAGATGGGTTTTCTTTTTTTTTAGTTTCACAGTATGTACACATTGTATTGTGTGTTTTTCTAAATTGTTTGTGCTTTTTTTTTTAATGCGTTTTCAAATCAAATTATTGAATCATAAAAGTACAGAAGACTGAAATATCTTCAGATGATTCAGTTTACTGTCACATTATTGTGCTCTTATATAATCAAATGTAATTTGTTTGCTTGTCCTGATACATGTTGTTGTTCAATGATTGTGCCGTCTCAAACAAAACAATTGTTATTACATGAATCATCCCCCAGATTCTGTTGTTTTGTTGCTTCAGATTTCAGTCAGGATGTTATCACACTTTCTACCACTGTGCCAAGTGACTGTGTTTCTGGATTCAGTGAAGATAAGAAACGACAATCCAATTTGTGCTTTTGTTTTTGGGCGGGATCACTGAGGATGCTTTTTTCCTTCTTCTGAAATCGCTTAAGTTGCTTGAATCAGCTGACCGATATTAAGGGTAAACAATGGAGTCATGAAACACGTGCTCCACAGTTCGGTTTTCATGTTTCGCTCTTGTCAGGTTTTGATTCAGCTGACGGCAAACAACTGTGTCTCTCAGAGCGGCAACAGCACAGCGGCTTCAAGTCACAGCTCAGCAGTTTACTGAGACTTCATGCTCTCTTCTACTCCTCACTCCTTTTCTTATAAAATACCCTCTTACTGAATACATAATGGATTAATTATTCTCTCCTGTCACTCTCGATCATCTCCATACGTCCAGACGTCCTCACCTCTACACAAACAGAAAACATTTCTTATTCAAAATCTACTTTACACAAAGAATGATCTGGATCTACGTAGAGATGCATTTGTACATATAGATTCTTTAAAAAAGCGTCAAATGATTTTTCTTTTCGATGCAAATTTACTTTCGTGTTTACGCCTCGCTGCTCGATGCGTCCTGGTCTCTGCAGCGGCTGCAGGCGTTCTACCCCCGGTGCTCACGTTTGATATTCTTAAAGTGTGATACACTACAGATAAGCGATGGGCGGTCAACACCTGATTCTTTTTTCTTTTTTTTCATAATGAACAATAACACAGCACACGTCACCCGACTGAAAGAGGAATGCTGACAGGATGCCTGATATTTGTGTGTGTGTGTTATATTTTGGAGGATTTCTCTCGTGATTCACCCGGAGTAACTGAGCATGTGTGGACAAGCTGGTGTGTGTGTGTTAGTGTGTACCTGTGTGTGTGTGTGTGTGTGTGTGTGTGTGTGTGTGTGTGTGTGTGTGTTGGAGTGTATGTGGCTATATGCATTTAAGAGAGCACCATTTTAAGACAAATTCTCTTTAGAGAAAACAGTCACCTTTAGATCACCAGAAAGTCAGCAGGTCAAAAATCGGAACCAAAAAATGTCTTATTGGGCTGTGAGAGACGTGTCTCAGTCATTAATACGTTGGTGCTGCTCATCCGGTTCCTGGAGGTCCCTCACGTGTTTTGGAGATTAGGTGCGTGAAGTTTGTCATTTACTTTGCTCCTTCTGTCACAACTCAGGCACACACTGAAAACACTGAAGGGGGGATGGCGATGTTGAGGGTGGTGTGAGATGGTGATCAGACAAAAACTGTTTCAGAGTTGTACATCAAAGTTGGTAGGGTGTGGGGTTTTCTGTGTTCAGTGGGTCATTTGCCTCACAACGCCTCAGTCCTGTCAGACGGTTCCATTCTCCTGCCTTGGCTTGTGGGTCGTTGTGCGAGTGGGCGTGCTCAGGGACGGGGCCAGGGTGCAGAGGAAGCCGGCCAGCAATGTGAGCCCAAGGCCCCCCCAGGCACAAAACATGGACCAGCCATAGCCATGGCTAATGTCCTCAGGGAGGCCATACATGTAGCGGGGGTAGCGGGACAACTCAAAGTTGATTCCTGCTACACATGTGCACAAGGAGATGATGCAGCATGTTCCTGTGTGAACAGAAGAGACAAGCGGTAAATTGTAAATGTTCCAGTTCCGTTAGTAAACTCTTACATGTGCTGTGCATCCCACTGCAGGAGAGGAGTCATGTTACTGCACAACATTGATCTACTATCTCATGCTGACCCAAAGATGCTCTCAGCTGTCGCCACATCAACACTGAAATTGAATGTAATTGGATTTTGTCTGCGTGCTTGTGCGTGGATGTGAACATATGTGCTCTCACAGTACCTCCCATGAGAAAGAGTAGCCCAGCTACATATTGCATGAGGTCATGCTGCTGGCAGCATCCCAGCACTCCGATGATCCAGCCAAAAAGAATGATGGACACAGCCATGCCCACGAAGCCGGCCGTCATCCTTCGTAGATCTGCAAGCAGAGATGAAAACATCACAGTGAACTTTAGCACATGTGCGTGTTACACGTTGATCTAATGGACAAATGTAGACATCTCTTTCACCCTATATCAGTCTATCACATAAGTGTTTCTGAGTAAGCTTGAAAATAAATTTTTTTTTACTAAGATGTGATACAAAAACCCAACTAACGATGAAGAATATATTAGGGAACAATTGACAAACTAAGAATCATCGATATCAATAACCCAGAAGGATCAATAAATGATTGTTATACTTTTCTGTGATCAAGTGAAAGTGTGCTTATTTATCATTGAAACAATATTTGGCTAATTATGCTGATTTATGATAATGTTTTAATAATGATGGTTTTTCCTGATTATGCTGGTGTTTGATTATCATTTAACTATGCATTAATTATACCAGTATAGTACAGTAGTATTAGTAGAGTAGTATAATATGTTAGCAGAAGAGACATTTATAGATTGGAAGATTTATAGAATAAGAATGTAGTGTTTTAGTATATGGTGTTCAAAGTCACATCATAGTAAAATCACAACGCTGTATTTCAAACTGCAGAAATCCCACACACACTCATCTGCACTGAACATGAAAGAAAACCCCCAAAGCAGGAAGATAAAAGTTCCCATACATCAAACTGAAAATCATTTCTGAAGCAATCCAAGGTTAAACATATCAAGTCAGTCACACAGGCCTGCCCAAGCGTCTGAGTGAGAGATTTATAAGATGACACTGATCGCTCCGTCCTAATGTCTTCAGATAAGACTAAAGCCCTAACAGTGATGAGCTGATAACCTCTGGTCACGGGCTTATATTATCAATGATGCTCAGGAGTTCAGGAGCGAGGGGCAGCTGTGCCTTCAACGTGATGAGGACAATCTTCAGAACGTGACAGGTAAGCAGTGTAAGGAGGTTGACACAAGGATCATATGCAGTGTTTGACTGACAGCACAGAGAATAATCTATTTCAGTAAAACCGAGACAGAAATCTATCTGTTTTACACCAAGACTAGTGGGATTACTTGGGGTTTATAAACGTGGGTAACGATTTTGCCTTTCTGTTTTTTTCCTCCCAGTGAGTCATGTTCGACGTCAGAAACATGCCAGAAGCGGTAAGCACAACACAAAACAGAAGAGACACCATGGAGACCAGCCCAATCTTACGGTGGTTACACCTTTATATATTTTATTTCAGCCTGTCTTTCAAACTCAGTGGTGACGAAGTGATTTCAGATTGCTACTCAAAAGGAAACAGATGAGCTTTGTTTGTTCCCAAAATGTAAGAAACAATAACTACATGAGCATCCATAACGTTGGACCGTAAAAAGGTGCAGCATCACTGTCTAGACTGCCAAAATAAAGAAGTAGAAGACAAAACAAACAAGTTCACCCGAACCTGAACATGTTTCAATCACAGCCGATTGGAGCCAATAAAAACCTGTGTCTACTGCAGAGTCTTCTGACCTCAGATCGAATTCTAACATTATCCATTCCCACTGCAGACAAAAGTCAGATGGTAATGAGTGTTAGTGGGTTACTGGAGCAATGGAAATGGGGAGGATTTCAGATGGAGACTTAAAGTGAAATATTGACTATTCAGATGATAGATCATTGCTTTTCTGTCCTCTCGTCTATTTTCATTTCTAAAATAGTCAGTTAATTCAATTCAATAGGTGTAAAAAGCTGAAAAATAAATGTGCATAAGCAAAAGATGCAAAGAAGGAATGAACAGTAATTATTCAATATAACAAACTCGATGAAGACAGACGAACACTTTCAGACTTACGGAGTGCATGCCACTCATCCTGTCGTATGGTCTTTGTGATGTTGATAGGTAAATTTCGTGGTAGGATGGACGAGGAGTAGTGGTATTTGACTGGGGTACATCTTTGAATTATTCCTGGAAAAGAAAAAAAAACAATTATAACTGGAGCCCAAATATTAATACAAGCAGAGAGAGATAATCAAGTAAAAATCTCATTCTGAACCTTCTACCCACGCGTGGGATTCTAATAAAATATACACATACACATTTATTATATACACTCACTGAGCTTTAATAAAGTCAGATGGAATTATTAACCTAATGTTCCCCATCACTCCTACATTGTTATTAAAGAGGGATTAGAAAACAATATGGATTATTCCACAAGTCATGTACAGAACCTGAATTGTTCTCATTTAAAGTCACTCTCTACATATTCATATGACTGTAAGAGCAGTATTTAAAACTGTATATATTCAGATTTAAAATGTTTAGTATATAGTATATCTCTATGCTCCATAGAAAGAATGCACCATCATACTTAGTAGGACTTTAAATTGTGCATGTCATGTTAAGCAAATGTTCCCTTAAAACGATTGGTTGCTACTGGCAACCTGACACAATTTTAAACCCAAAAAATTAATTTGGGATTTTTTTCTAAATTGAGCATCTGGAAGTTTGGCATTTAATTTGACAGACACCTGAAATTATTAATTAATTGATAATCAGAATAGCTGCCATTTAACTTTCTCTTAATCAACTAATTGATTAACAGGCTTATCATTGCAGCTTTATCAGGTATCAATTATGATTAGATCTCATCGTTATAATGATTCATAAATAATAATGATTATACTGTTCGTATTATCATCACCGTTCTTCTCACAGAAAGGTATCTGTCTAAAACCACAGGATCTGTTTAATGCAGAAGCTGCTATTTTCCTGACATCACGCTGTCACGACACTAAGATGATCAACACTGTAACTGTGACTACACAAACAACACACACTTCTACACTCGCCACCAGCAAAGGTCACCACTTCAAGTACTTAAAAAATGAATTTCCTATAAATCCTGATCCCTGATGAGGAGCCTGAACACAGGTTTGCAAACTGCATCACTTGAGAGCTGTGTGTTTGTTGTTTGTCTACAAGTCCGATAATAAAGAAGGAAAGTTGTGAACATCTTGTCTCACAATGGTTTAAACCAAAGACTGAAAATAAAGATGGATATCGAGTTTCCTCCCACTATCCAGCAATGAAGGCAAAATGTACTGGAATCAAACGCTGCCATCTTGTTCATTTGGAGCCAAAGTCTGTGAATTAGTGATGGCAGGATGAAGCGAGGGCATGAAGGAAGTCGACACATGAGCTTGACCAATCACAAGTCAGTCTCAGCTGTCAATCATGATGTTTCAGCCCATTATTGTAGCATCAAATAACCAATTAACATTAAACTCACCATGAAAGTGAACAGGTGAACAAACATCAGTGCGATGAGAACTAAATCTAAAATGACAGAAACCATCTTTGACTTTTTTAGTTTGGTCCATGTCCCATCAATGGACATGGAGGGGGTGGGATCTATGACCTGTACTGCAGCCAGCCACCAGGTGGCGATGGAAACGGTTTGGCTTGAATTAAGGATTGTAGTAACGTTGCCCATCTTTGTTCACAGTCTGTGGTTTAAACTTGGCTCCAAACTGGTGAGCGTCATCATGTTTAGGTCAGAGTGAACATGACTCACACTATTTGTGTGATTTAAATGGCATCACTTTGACATGATACCGATTCAAGCTCAGGTGCATCTTCAGCGTACACTCGGTAAACTTGGCTCTGATTGTAAACTGATATTTTAACATTTGTTTCACTGTAATTGTAATCGAACTCTTCTTAGTTACTGATTAGTGGTACGTACGAAACAGAATCTTTTAGTAACTGAACGTGATATAGAAATGGTCCTCAACATTACCACATTATCAAAAGGAATGAAGACAATTCTAGAAAACAAAAGGTTTTTATTTCTGGGGCAACTAAAATCATTGGGTCTGAAAATGTATTTTAACTGAGGTCAATTCTAATCCGCGCCTCATGTTGAACGACCCAGAGGTGCAGGAGCTAGAATTAATAGGGACATTTAATAGAAGTTAAATAGATAGTAGTTGTGTGAGCAGAATCTAATCTGAGCAGTGCAAGGTGTGGGTGGGTGGACAGATGATCATAAACAGATGTACAATTAATATCCATCATAACAGCACTGCAACAAATACAATTAACAAACCTCTGTGAGGCTTGTAATAATATTTCCTTTCCAACACAATGTGTAAGAGACAGTCAGATGTGTTTTCAGATCCAGTTAAACCTAATAATGAATCGACACCTTCCTGAGACAGTGTCAACAAGCTTCATGAAGGAAGTGAGGACTGGAGTCATTTGAGGTTACTCCTTAACGACCAAGAGGAACAGTCACCTACACAAGACCACAACAGTGTGTTCTCTGGTTGTATATATATATATTTATACGTCATCTCTACATTGTTGCTGCTAAAACAGAAGTGAAAGCCTGGTTTTCTAACACAAGAACTTGGGTTATTAACTTTGCATATTATAATAAATAAACAGGTCCACCAAGGAGGTCATGTTTTTGTCCGCATTTGTTTTTCCTTGATTTCCCAGAGAAAAAATCATAGATTTGGATGAAAAACAATCAGACACATGAAGGACAGTGATATTTAAGTTTGTGCAATTTGGTGCTGATGGAAATCAAATTCTGGATCTGGTGAATTCACATGTGGTTTGATGAGGGGACTGTTGTTTCCTAGTGGAGATCTGAACTGTCTATCATTTTAGTTTATTATTATTATTATTTCTATCATAAGTGGTGCAGACCCAGACATACAACATGGCGAAGCTGACAGATAATACTTTAAATAATGTGCCATTAAATAAACATATGACGCCTCTGACAGCTCCAATCACAACAACAATCATTAGTGCCATGTCTCCTCTTTGTGTCTGGACCTCGTTGTGGAGCAGGTACGAGTGAGATTGGGCTTCTTGTTGTCGTGCGTTGTGTTGTCAGTGATTCAACTTGCTTTGCACTGAACTAAAATCCCCCAGTGTGGCGTTAACCTTCACCAGATGTTGTTCCATCTTCTGCAGATGCAAAAAAAGATGGAGAAAAACCAGACTGGGCATGATCTCATGCAGCCAGAGAGGGACTCAGCAGCATGTAGAGCGAAATCACACAAATGCATGACACATGAATTTAAGAAGAATTCCTCCTCATCCTAACATGAATATTTAAAGCACACAGACACACAGTGATGTGAGAGGGGAGCCTGGGCCTGCTCCTGAGTCTCTAGGTGTGAGCTCATCGCAGAGCATCACGGCCTGCAGGCTCCACACTGCCCCTGTTTACCTTTGTATATAAGGTCCTCGGTCTCCAGGTCGAATCCCTCCCGGTGACACTTCCTCCACAGTCCGGAGATGGTGGAGTTGAACTGCCGGCTGCAGTGGGACTCCATGGCGGACGCTGCGGCCACAAAGTGCCGCTTCCCCCTGGTGATGACCGGGCCGCCGGCAGCAGCAGCATCTGGGCCGCTGCCTCTCCTCTCCAGGCTCTTTGGAGGCATCTGGAGCGGCAGGTTGTGGTTCGAGATGTAGATGTAGCCCGGGTCGTTGCGCTTGTTCGCATAGTTCTTGCACCTCTCCCGGTGCCTCCGCGCGTCCGTCTCGTACCAGTAATCGGTGCAGATCGCCATGGCGAGCAGCCCCAGCGCGCAGAAAGCCAAGAAGAGCCCCGTGCTGGTTAATATTTTCATAGCGGCCATCTTCCCCCCGCTCGATGGAGAGCCCAAAACAGTCGCGAGAAGCTTCCTCCTCCTCCGCGGCCGTGGCGGCGATGGTACCCCGCTCACAGCCTCGCTCAGTCCCGCACTGGGCGCATGACGGTGCGGGGCCAGGGTCGTCCGGACTGGATGCTGCGGTATATTGTTGTAGTGCCCGGTGGATGCAATGTTGTTCCCACCATCTGTTATGGTACAGGAGGAGGAGGAGGAGGAGGAGGAGAGGGGATGGATGGATGGAGACCAGCGCTGTGAGGAGGAGTCAGTGATGTCGCTGTTCTCTCTCTCTCCTCCAGGATGCTGCGGGATGGGGGAGCAGAGAGGACCGGGCTTCGTTGGGAGGGGAGTGGTCATTTGTGACGCTTGGACGGTCACATTTATGGATCTGGTCAACATGTAAAAACACAGGTGCACGGGAGGAGGGGGCTCCATCATGTGCCAATCTTTAAATCAATGATCAATTCTTTTTCTCCCTAGAAACAACCAGGAAGTTCCTGAACAGCAGCGAATCAAAGTGGTTGTTATCATTTATTTTTACTATTATTTCTCAGTGAATTGTTCAGGATATCTATCTAATGGCTAGATAAGTGTCAACTCTTTTGTCTTTAATATAAAGTACAATTTTAAGAATTCATAAATGTGCTATGAAAGCTCACGACCCTTTAGTGATGGGTCCGGATGAACACTTGCACAAGCAATTTGAGAAATTCTCTCTTTTGCAGGTCACCTGGTGAACGCAGTCCAACAAAAACAAAACGTCCTCAATAGAATGGCACTAAGAAAAAGTGAAACAGATCTGAATCCACCCCCGAATCCGGATCAGCGCCAAAATTGAATGGGTTCTTTAGTTGTGTGCTGATCCATTGAGTAGTTTTTGCACAATCCTGCTTACAGACAAACACAGAAAAAAACATTATCTCTTCTGCAGATGTACACAAAACTAGACAAACATAAAACTGCAGCTAAAAGGTTAAGATGTCAGGAGGCAACAGATAAAAAACAGTCAGATTCAGCATTTTGTGATAAATGGCAAGTTAAACGTTTACATTTCCACCAGCTCAGATCGATCAATTACAGGAAGTGATGTGGGATTCAAGCGAAGTTTAAGATTTGATGTCTGTTGATGATTCAGTTCGACATTAAAATGCAGTTGAAAGAAAGAGCTCAAGAGAAAGATTTCAATGGAGCAAAACACCCCCAAAAATTTTTTATCTCATATTTGAATTGAATTAGCTTCAACTTGTTTGAAACACTAAGTTTTTCTTAACTTTCGTCATTATGTTGTACTCTGATTTCCTATAATATTGTCAATATTTCACAATGATGTTCAGTGCAGGCATTAAATCATAAAGCAGCTGATAGGAAATTATTTCATGAGAAGTACAACAGTAAAACAATGTTAAAACTTCTCACTGCATAATGTGATATTGGTCAAGATATATGTCATCCATCCATTTATCATCTACAGGACTATCCTCTCTGAGGGTGGTAGGGCCGCTGCAACCACTCCCAGCTGACACTGGGTGGGCAGCGGGGACGACAAATACACACAACAACCATTCACACTCACATTCACACCTATGGCAATTTAAGAGTCATATCTGTCATCCACAAGAACATTTGAATCCAGACCTCAGGAACACTTGTCCTAAACTATGAAGTAGTGTGAACTCAGCTGAGCATCAATGAAAGACTTTTCACTCGTGTGTTTGCACTGTTTTCCACTGAACGTCTCACTGCCGTGTGCAGAGTGCTTGTTTGTTGTCCTTTTGTGCTGTGACTGAGGAAGGCTCCCACAGACAATAGGCTGCTCACAGGCTGATGACTAAGGAAGGCAACCCGCGGCGGAGTCGTTATGGCAACAGAAGCTTGCCAAACAGACTGTGTAGAAAATTGGACAAGAGTTGAACACACAGTCAATGCCCCCTCCCTTCACTACCATATGACATTTCGGGCATTGGATCTCTGCAGTAAAAATATGCTAATGGTGGACAGGTTTTTGTGCGGCGAGGTCAAGTCATCCCACTGTGCTGCCTCAGCACCTTAACACACGACCAATCAATACCACAGGTATACTAATCACTCTAAGATCAATATAAAGCCTGCGTCCCACTTCTAAAAATTACTCTCTAGTATGTATATATATAAAAACAAACAGACTTGTTAAATAAAAATTCTAGAGAAATTTACATTTTATTTATTCAGGAGTGGAAACTTTCACCAGGAGGTGAGTCAACAAATATTTTAATAACAAAACATGACGTCAATAAGCATTTGTGTTAAGAGCTGTTGTATGTTCCATGACTCAGGATTTCTTTGTAACAGCGATAAGTCAAAACTGGACACTCTAAACAAACAATAGCAATCTGCAACTTTATCACAATCATTAATTAAGCAGAGCTTTGTGTGAAAGGTGCAGACTGTTCTGTGTGAGGGTGATACTGTACGGAGAACTGTACTTCCACACTTATGGAACAGCCCGTCCTGACTCCTTGGCACTTCTTTCTTGACAAGACAAAGATTATGGCATGGTGGTTTTAGCATAACTCTTAAATAAAACCGGTCGCTTGTTTTTTTTCTTTTCAATAAATAGGCAGCAGCTACATGTGAAACTGAGGAAGCACAACACTCTGTTAAAACAATTTAGGGTTCAATTCATTTTAAGAAAAAGGTCTTTGTAAAAGGTCCAATAACACCCGCTCTGTTGAGCAGGTACATCAGGGTTACATGTGTAAATGTGCAAAACAACACTGTCAACATTATTAAAGAATTTGGTAACAGATATCCACACAAACCTTCTGAATTCCCTTGATATTTACGTCTGGCACATTCTGAAGTGTCCAAAAATGTCCTGTCAGCAGATCGAGGTCGTCCGTTCCGTCATCCATCCATAAAGTGCTGTTCTTTTGTCGGACATTTTGTTTTAGTGTAACATTAAGATGATATCAAAGAGGTGTAGTGTCTTAGACAAAAGGTTTCTAAGCATGAGAGGTACCAGATATGCGGGGTCTGTATCTCTCTAGTGGTGAGATTTAGTCTTTGGTAAGGCCTCCGTGTTCAGTCGACAATCGCAGAGAGCAGAGCCATGACCGCCACGCCACAGAAAATGAGCAGGATCTGCAGCAGAGTGTGTCTGAAAAACAAGCAAAACAAAACAACATGCCAATGAAGCTGGGAAGAGTGCAAGACAACAAGTTGGTTAACATGGATGTAACAAATGCAGAAAAAAAAAAAGATTAGAAAAAAAACAAATGGCCAAAAGACGCCATTTTTCACAGCAAAATAAAAATATTGTCCAGTTTTTAACTATCCCACGGTCCTTGAACTATCACTTGTGAAAACACCATCTGTCAGGAAAAAAAATAATCTCAGGTGAATTTAGTGATATTTAATTAAAATAACTTAATTCACCATGTTTAATAAAACATTTACCCATAATACAATGTTTGTACCAAAAAGATTCTGTAAAAAAAATTCCAAATTCCTCATCACAACATGATTCCATAACCTGACAATTTTCAGGTCCTGCAGTGGATTCATGTAAGAATGAGTGGGTATTTTTTATTATTTCATGTTGTATCGCTAAAATGTGGAATATTTCAATATTGGATTTATTTATCAGTAACACTTGTATATATTGATCTTCCCCAATTGGAAGTAGAAGTACTCATTATTTCAACTTTCATTTTTTTCTTGTAAATGATTTATGGCATTATATCTGTTATAAAATTAACAAATACATGTTTGAGTTCTCTCTACCTCTCGCCCTGATTCTGCAATTTCCACAGACATACAAGACTTTATATTGCAGTGAAAACGAACCCAGTGAGTAAAAATGTGACAGAAGAAAAATGCTTGAGGTTCAGAGGGTTAACAACATTAGTGCTGGAAAACATCCAACGCACCTTAAACTGGTCTCCTGCAGCAGGTCAGGCACCACATTCACCAGAGCGATGTAGAGAAAGCCTCCAGAGGTGAAAGGCAAAATCCAGGCTGTGGCATTTTCTAGAAATGAAACAAAACAACTGGGACTGATTCTGGAAACTTTGACGTGGTCTTCCGTCATCAACATTGGGTTTGACTGTATGTTTACTGGTGTCATCTTACCTGTGCCTTTAGGTGACTGAGTGCACAGAGCAAAGCAAGCTCCCAACACCCCGACCAGCGCTGTGGACAGTTGCATGCGAGCAGCACTCCATCGGTCGAACCCGGCCCTCAGCAGGATGGCAAAGTCTCCCACCTGAAGACAAACACAAATCTCAATGACAGCTCGACCTCCAAGGATTAACTTCCATAGTGGTCCAATTCTTTCTACATACTTTAAATCATGTAAACAGGAAACCTTGAAAGTAAACTTTGAACTTCTAAGTTAAGATGAAAAAATTGGAAACTGTACAATTCAACCAAGACTTGTGTAATCTCACCTCATGGGGGATTTCATGGAGCAGGATGGCAAAGGTGGTGAGAAACCCAACCTGCAAGAAAAGTCTCATTAAAACTGCTTTGAAGAAATAATGCTTTGTCTGACTTGGTAAAGAAACGAGCTTTGTAGTATCAAAGGGAAATTATTATGAGGGTTGAGTGCTTAGCTCATGTGGTCATTTTGTAATAGACAGTGCAAAGATAGAAAAGTGAAAAGATGAAGAGCTGCAAATCTGTGACTTTAAGTCTTTAAGAGATTGAATAGTTATATATGAAGAGCATGGTGAGACCTGTCAATCCTGTGAATCAGAAGAACGTTACGACTGTGGTTATATACACATCACATATTCACTGTCGGTGCAGGCTGCTGATTTCGGCAGCTTTTTAAAGTCAAATTGAAATTTAAAACCATTCTAATCTGTGGCTGACAACTTAATTCTATTTCAGGCCTTATATTTGTAAATTGATTTTAAGCCATATTTTTCATCAGACATGAGAACAGATAAGTGTTTGATCATCTGTTAATTGTTAGCTAAACATGTATAATATGATGTCTAATGTAATCATAATATGAGGTTTTAAAAAGACTTAAAAAGCCTCATTCAAAATTAAATTGGGTAGTTTTAAATAAACTAGCTGTTATTGAATAAAGCAATGTGGACATACTTAAGTGCTCTTTACTAATAAATTAGGTTTATCAAGCCTTCAGAATTAAAAACTGTGAACTATAATTATTCCTTTTAATCAATGCTGCTTTGGA